CCCGTCGCCGCCGCCACCGAACCGGACCCGCCGGCGGTCAGCAGCCTCTTCCAAAGCCCGCGACCGCCGGCTCCGCGGTAGAATCTGTTCCCTTTCTCCGCCAGAAAGCGCCACGTGTCCTCGGCGGAGAAAATGGGGCGGCGGCGGTCCTTGGTGGCGAAGAGCATCGCGGTGAAGATGCCTCCGACGCCGGCGCCGGCGGCGACGTCGAAGTAGTCGGCGATGGTGGCGTTGTGGTCGCCGGATTTCTTCTTGAGCGCGGCTTCCAAGTAGGCGAGGGCTTTTCCGGCGAGAATCCCGCGCATGCCGGCGCCGTCGATGGCGAGAATGCATATCTTGCCGCGCTGGTTCTTGACGGGTGGCGGTTGTTGAGATTGGGGGTTGGGGAACCAGAGTTTGGGATCGTCGTAGCCGAAGAGGAAGTTGCTTTCGAGAATGGAGAATATCTCGTAGCTAAGCTTATCGGTCTCTATGCTGGGCTCTTGCATTTCCAACTCATTAGTAGAATCCATTTGTTTGCAAACAAGTCTCTTCTCTTTCAATGGGAAACACGTAGATACCTCATTTCATTTACCATCTGTGACTGTGAGACTAATCATTCCGTTGTCTGTTGTAACTTGTAACTTGTAAATGCCCAGCACCAGCACTACCCAAATGAAACGCAGCCAACTAAATGCCAAATCACCATATATATATATATATACCCATTCATTCTTTTATTTTTACATTTCACTGTTTGGCAACAAAATATAGGTGTTTGGTGTTTGTGGCTTGCTCGACTCAGCTGGAGAGAAAGTGGGGCAAGTGTTGCGTTGGGTCCCACTCTCACAGCCTCACCGCCAATCACTCACCGACACTTGTACACCGTCAATCTTGCTTCTCACCATCCATGCCTCGGATTGCACCAACACTATTCCTCCCTCATCAACGTCTATCTTGTTTTTTCACAACTTACTTTTACATTGTTTTTTTACTCTACTATTTTTTATATAAAAAATAATATTAATTAATTAAGGGAAGAATTGTGGTGTTTGGGAGAAATCAATGAGTAAATTGGGATAAGAAGGGAAGGGCAGTGGGGACCGCTGTATTTTGTTTGGTGCATTCGGAGTTCGGAGGCAGAGAGGAAGGACGATACACAAAAGACAGCCGGACAGGGGGACAATTTCTGGTCATCAGGTGCAAACTTTGCACTACCAAAAACTACTTCAATTATTTCTTTTTCTCTTCATTTTTTAATTAACTTTCATTTCTTTACTATTCTTTTACTACTATTATATCTAATCAATGTTTCAAAATTATGTTTAGTGTTATCTTAGACTAATTCAAGAACCACTGGGATCAACCATTTATTCCAATCTTCTTTCTAATTGGAGATTATTATGGCTTTTACTTATCAAATCGTTACCAAATTTGTTGATAAGTGCATGACAAAAGTCTCTGATTCATATTTTTTATTTTTATTTTATAGTAATTATTATAATTAAAAGAAATGTATTTATTTAAAAAGATATTACTTTTGTAATATTGTATGAAACAGTATCATTTATAATTTGTATATAAAAATCTTAAATCGTGATGAATTGAGAAAAGAGAATACTAAAGAGATTGTCAATCATAGGAGGAGAGGTTAGGTTAAGTTGTGTTTAAAGATATTTTTACCAATCTTTTCAATAACAAAGCACTGTCTTGTTAGGTTGACAGTGTTTTCTTTACAAAACTCATAGTACAGATGAATATTCTTTATAAAACTCTGTCATTTATGAAACTTCTAAAAAATAATATTTTTCTTTTAGGAAAATTGAATTATTTATTATTTACTTATTTTTAATAATAGTAATATATATTCCACTAAATCAAACAATTAAAGTTCATAAGTAAATCTTGCTGCCATACATATCGGTCTCTCTAAATTATTGTTTTTAAATTAGACTCAAATCATCATAAACTATTATAAAATATCAACAAACTTACTTTTCATTACGATCTATAAATAATGTGATGAAATAACTAAAATTTCTTTATGTATAAACTATTGTACATACCAGTTTCGCTTGTATTAATGAAAATTAATCCGAAACGTTACACCCTTGTTTCCTTATAAAGTATAGGATCTGCTATGTTCTTGTCTTGCTTAGGAGTTTATCAAATAACTAATTGATTTAACATGATATTTTTTTATCTCTTAATTAATTCATTTAACGTGCATGATTACTATATAAAATAATAAAATAAAAGCTGTAATGTTTAGATATTTTTAGCTTGTAGCCTGTCATACAATTACTCCATTTTATTTACTTGATATAACTTGCATTGAATACCTTAACTCTTAAGTCTTTAATTATTTTAATTAACTAAATGTTTTTAATCACGCCTTCTCATCGCACATCATATCCTTTCTTCTTCTTTTTTATTCAAAAGGTGACTTACGTGTGAATCACTACGAGTAATTTATAAGAAATACGGACAGACACATAATACATGACATACATTGCAAGGTCTCAAACAAAAGCAACATTATATAATTGAGCCTGCAATATCTGCCTCAAATGCTTATGACTAATTCAAGTCATTATCAATTAAGCTGTCGTCAAATGCAATATTATAAACTTGGTACTTCAGCAATCACCTTGGATATGATAAAAATATTGGGAAAATTTTTCTTGATATCTATGTATGTGTATACATCCTTTAAGTATGAGAGATAAGAAATGAATAGAGAAAAATAATAATGTTGAAACTTGAAAATGAAAAGAATATATATATATATATATATATATATATATATGAGGAAAGTTATAATAACACCGGTGTAACTTTTATTAAGTATTATACTACTTAATAATTTTATGTTAAATATGGATTTTGTAAATCTAATCATTAGATTGAAAGTTCTTTACTCTTAGATCATATATACAAAATTTTATATTAATCCAAAGTGATTTAATAATTTATTCTTATAAAAAAAAATTGACGTAATATATGCATTTTAAAATATACTAAAATATGAACAATTTGATTACCTTTAAGTTGTTGTCCAATTTTAATAAAATTTGATATAACTATATAAAATGATATGAACTTTCAATTTAACGATTGGATTTACAAAATTCATATTTAATATAAAATTATTGAGGGTTGTAATACTCGGTAAAAGTTATACTGATGTTATTATAACCCTCCTCTTTCTATATATATATATATAGGGTTGTGTCCTTTTTCTTTTTTTTGGAGATGAAAAATACGTATCATTGTAGAGATTGGGGAGAACAAAATAATCGGTTGAATTTTTATTAGGACAATTATGTTGAGTTGTAAGAAAATAAATACAAATTTGATTATGTGTGACATTAAGATAAATTTTTATGCTTTTCTTTGATGGGCAAAGAATAAAACTCCTGAAACTAAATTTTGTAAAACAATTATTTCTTATTCTAGGAAAATTAGACACAATCTTATGTAATAATTTGTTTGGCTCAACATTATCTTGAGTAAACATAGATCAACCGGAAATAAAAAATATTTGCTTCTACGTCAATGAAATATTTTGGACGTGGATGCATTGAAATTGTGGATCCTAAACTCGTATATAAACATCATGCCTAGAAGAAATTGAGTCTAATTCTACTCATTTTAACAACTTGTTGATATTTTTTATTCATTACTAACCCGAATTATTCTACATCTTTTTATTATTTTTTTTCAAGTTTTGAATCGCTCTAATTACGGAATCTTGGTGGCTTGGGATCGATATATGACGTTCAAATGAAATATGGGTTTGCATCATTGCATGGTTGCAAGAAAAATATGGTGCGAAAATTGTATGATATTTTTATAAGTGTTCCGTTTAGGGATGGTAACGATGATACCTGTCCCCGCCCCGCAAGTTAAACTCGTCTTCGTTCCCGTTCCCGTTCCCATACTCGTCGGGTATAGATTTTCATCCTCATTCTCGTCCCTGTCGGGTATCGGGTATAGCCGTACCCGTCATTTTTTTTATTTTTTATTTTATTTTTTGTAAAAAAAATGATATTTTTAAATTATTTTTTTATTATATTATAATTATAATTAAGTTATTTCTTTATCTCATATTATAATAAATAATCACACATAAAAAAATATTAAATTTTTTTAATATAATTAAATTAAAAGTGAATATTAAATTAAAAATGAGAACGGGGACGAGTACGGGTACGGGACGGGTAAGTACATACCCATACCCGATTTAATATATCGGGTTTTACGCGTACCCGTACTCGGTCAAATCGGGTATTCTCCGTCAAAGTCGGGACGGGTTCGGGTATTACCTGTGGGTATGGGTATATTTGTCATCCCTAGTTCCGATCATAAAAGGTTTCTTGTCAACAAAGCACTTTAAGTACAAAAATTTCTTTCTCTTTTTCTCTTTTTATTTTTCTCTAGTGTGTTCTGAAAAATGCGTGTCTTTCTAAGTTTTTTCCTTGTCTTATTTAACCTAATTTTTCTGTTATCTTTAATATCCTTTTTTTTTATAGTATTTGTGGTATATTTTTTAGAATCTTATCAATGTACGTCTTAGATGTCTGATATCTCACCTTTTAATTTTATCTTTTTATCCAAGATAATCCTTTCACTCGTAACCCAAGTAAATTGTATATTTATGTAAATCTCAGTCTTGAATTGAGCTTCTAAGGTGAATAAACTAAAAGGAGAGCTCGGTTCAAATTGTTACAAGCTCGGCTAGGAATTTCTTAACACCTCTCAAAGGTGAAAAAGCTCGTCTCATAACTTAAATCTTTTTCAAAATAGATGTTCAAAATTCTTGTAGTCTATTAAGTCGGTATGAGCCTAGGAGGGTACATAGCGCCCTTAGTCTTAAGTCGATGAATTGAGAAGATTATAAAACAAGAAACAACATTGTAACATTATTAAGTCGGTATGAGACTCGTGAGGATAAAATAAGCAAATCATATTAAAGAAAGGTAAAAACACCACACAATGTAAGTGTAGGGAGTGGCTACCACACAAATACAAAGCAAAAGTCACTCCTACAAACTCTCTAATAGAATATAAGCAACAATATTTCTAAAAACCTGCATTACTTTCCAGCATGAGCAAAGAAAACAGTCTTGCTCTTCTTGTCAACAATAAATAAATAGGGACTAAAACCCAAATAGTAATTTATAAGTTAATTATTTGAATAGCTACATTGAGAAATAGGATTTGCAAACCATTTCAGAAGATTTAATTACAAGACCGTTATCTAATTTTGATAATGACCAATAAGTACCTATTTTCTCCCTCTTTCTTTCTAGTCTCACTTTAATTATTTAGTGTGTTTTATTAGTACATTTACCATGTAATTTAATTTAGTTAATTATTAACAAGTAACAATTCACAAAAAGGAAATGAAATAATACCAGAGTTTTTTTTTTACCATGCTATTGGTACCACAGGTTAGGATTTATCAGATGTAGTTTTTTTTTTTTTAATCGAAGATGTTGTAGTTAATTAATTTTTTGGTTTTATTGTTAATTTTACATTTTTAGTTTTTCATGGTTGATCAGCGGGTCAACTTGTTTGATTATTATTATAAGAAAAAAAGTTTGTTGACTAGACCCAATTGTCCGATAAAAAATGCATATAAATTCAAGCCAGACTTAAACAAACAAACTCAATTACCCGATTATAAATGCCCTAA